TTTTAGTCTTCTCAACAACCTTTACCCAGTCATCTCTTGTGACTTCCCCGCAGGCTTCTTTAAATAGGGTCATCATCTTTTTCGTGCTGAATGGCGGGGAAGTATTGTGGCGGGCGGCGTAACCTTTTATTTGAGCCCAGATTAGCTCAATCGCGTTATATTGGCAATGATACGGTGGAATTCTTAGAACGCGATGACCGTACTCCAGAGCCAGTTCATCGATTTCATATCGCACATTTGCCGCTTTATTTTCTTTAACTAATTTAATTAGCTCTGGTTTTAGCATCTGCATATTTGCGTCAATGCCTTTTGCTTGTAACCAAGCCACCATTTCTTCTTTTTTATTAGCTTGGGTAGGTGGTTTCTGTATTTGAACCGAGTGATAGGAGGCATTGTCCATGAATATTACAGAAGGCTCTGGTAGGCTGGGCAAAAGCACGTTCTGGAACCACTCTTTAAATGTAGTGGCATTAATTTCCTCGTGGTAGTCATTTGTGGTTTTTGATTGAAATGCCAGTAACGCGTTCTCCACAAAGCCATATTTTGCAGAACCTGCGTGGCATATTATTAGACGGGCCCCCTTACCCATTGGTACTTTCGACGTCGACGCTTGTGTATCATCCGGCCAAGAACGGGAAACCGTGTGATTTTGGCGTTTAGCCATGTCTCGTCAATGAACACGACATTATCCCAGTTATCAATATTTTTTTGCTTCTTCTCTCAAAAAATTTATCCGTTTTAAAATTATGTCGTATCGTTTTAATAAAATTTTTCTTTTGTCTGTTTTTTTATACGAAAAACCAATATCTTTTAAGTTTTTGGTTAAAGCAGTTTTACCCCCCGCTAAACAGGCCAGCTTCTCTTAACGATGCCAAAAGCTTCTTCCTGTTGAGATATTCATTTCTAGAATAGTAACCATATATATCATTTCTTAGGCATTATTATGCACCAGAAGTAAAAAGAACGCAATACAAAACACAATCGAAGTCCGATTTAGCCCCGATGTCAGTTTGTAAAGCAGAAACAGTCCATTAAACGAAAGCCGGGTAATCAAATAAAAACAGATCGTAAACACTTGAAGAACGTGGTCTATGCGCACGAAACGACAACAGACGACTGTTTTAGCGTCACGAAATGGCGGCCCATAATAACGCTATTTGGGGTTACCATTTTTTCAACCTAAATATAAAAATGCTACTTTCTTTCGCGCGTTCGGTTTGGTCGTAGTTTTATTTTTATATTTATTAAAAGTTATCTTATAGTCCATTATTTTCAAATTCTTAAAAAGAAAAACAAAACGTATTATTTTATAAAGTATAACTGTATAGAACAGATTACGATACTGTTATTGCCTGTTATTGTTAGCACAGCACTACAAATATAAAGCGCTGACATAACCTTGTAATAGCGCAGTATAGATTTAGAAAAATATTGTTTACCAAGTTATTTGACACTCAGTTTGGCACAAAATTATAACATTCATTGATTATTGATATAATAATGTTGTTTTAATGCTCATCAATTGTTAAAACGGTAAACAACCAGCAAAAATATTTTTATCGTAACTGCAACGCCATTACAAAGTTACGTCGTCAGTTCAATCGCGACGTGTCAGGAACGCATTCTCTGAACGGCCGAACTATAGCTAACCTAACAATATTTTATAGTGACCATATCAATGTTAATGTTTTAAAATATATAGATTGACTTGGCCATCGCATGACAACACAGTGTATCTTACAAGTAATACATATTATATTAAATTAGCTTGCTTAGTGCAATTGCCAACTCAATCTATATATATATAAAACATGTAAGATTTTTAACATTGATATGGTCACTATAAAATGTTGTTAGGTTAGCTAATTAAGTAATAACTTAAAACAGAAGGACCCTTAAATAGGGACTGAATAAATTAACCGACTTGGTATTACGTGGATCTCACAACATTTTACGGTCGAAGAACTGAGTTGCGAGACTAGATTTTTTTACAAGTTACGTTTTTGCTGGCATGTCATTTCTTTTTGGGGATAAGATAGTCCTACTTTTTTTAACTTTCCGGTACCTTCTACTTCTTTAATACCAACAACGTACCTATCTACACCTGTTATAGATATTCAAGTACACTGATTCATTCACCGCAAATGTAACTTTGTAATTCCATATATTTATATGGGATTACAAAGTTATTTATACAGTATAAAAAATTATTTTAGATTTTCCTTGATTTATACACTAAACACTAATTGTATTCTAAATTTGAAGATTTCTATGTCTGCTAGAAGTTCCTTAAGTTAAGTTAGTTCTAATCTCAATTAATTCACACAATCACCACGCAATATTAAATTAATTTAGCGCTAGAGTCGCTTTCAAGAGTACGAAAATGTTATAATTTCAATCCCGATCGATCGGAATTGTTTTAAAGAGTAAGCCCGCAAAGATGCCGCGAATACTTACTATTATTTGGTATTCCGCGTCGTTACTTGGGTTTTTTTGTTATTCGTCGAATACCGAATAATATTATAGGATATAGCTAGTATTATTCGGTTTTCGGCGAATATTTGTTTAAAATAAACTTTTAATTAAATGTACAATTCTTAAAAACAAAACACATTTAGTATTAATTATTATTATCATTTTATACAAAAATCAGCCATGTCATGTTGATGTTAATTAGTTAGGCTTTTTAATTAATATTTAAAGTCCAAAAGGAGCAGATTGTGCTGCAAAAAAGCGAGTTTTTCGGCACGACTGGGATCAAGTCATAAGTCTTTTCTGAACAAACAGAGCTTGCTGGTGTGATTAGGTATCGTTTAGAATGAGGAATTTGGCATGATTGTTGTTTTTCTATTTAAGTTACACTTTAACTATTTCAGTCTTTAATTCAACTGAAATTTGTAATTAAGAATATCTTACTTAAGCACTTGTTCTCGTTACGAAAATTAAAACGTCGACCGATACCTAACAGTAATACGGTAAATTTTTACCGTTAAATAACTAATTTTCATATAATCGTATTTACATAGAATTTTTAAACTTTTTAAAATCTTCGATCCCCTTGCTCTTTGTACGCTAATAAGGTCCATCCGGTGTAGAAACTGCCATATGCACTCAAATTTGATAGATAAAACACACGGAACTCGAAAAATCGCTACTTACTTAAACCGAGCCGTAAATTCAGAAATAAAAACACAAATTCATCCATAACTTGGCTGAAAATTTGTCTTTTCCGTTAAAATTTTCTTGTTATACAGTGTAATCAATTGCCCTCCGTATTTATTATACTATATATTATATATATATATATATATATATATATATATATATATATATATACACACATTACAATAGTTTTCGTAGTAAATTTTCACCGTTAAATAACTAATTTTAAAAAAGCAAGGTCATCACGAATGACAAACAAATGCGTGCCGCCCAACCTAACCCCCTGGCACACACGAGTGGCATGAGAACTAGTGAGGAACGGAGGCAGAAACGTAGCGAGCAAACAGTATTTGTCACGCCGCACTTCATGCTCCTATTCATGCTTATCACTTTCTGTTTTGTTTTGTCGGTCTTTTGGGCGCGAATCAAAGGATTTGCAATTTGAACGCGAGTGGCCGGCCATATAATCGTAGTCCGAATCAAGCATTCGTTACCGAAGTGTCGCCTAGTGGGTGATTCTGTGAAGTTTGGTAGCGATCGGATAAACAGTCTGACAACGAAAGATAATTTACATCACCATAATTTGATGAATTTCTAAAACAATCGGCATACATCGAACTTCTGCTACCTACCGTACTGTAACTAATGGGCGGGCTGAAAGATTTGTACAAATTATTATAAGATCTCAAAAGTATGGAAGAGAATTGTAGTAATATATATGAAAAAATACTTTCAATTAAAGCTTAGTTAAGACGTACACGTTACGCAACAGGAGAAAATGCATACCAACTGATGTTTGGGAGGGAAACACGAACGAAACTTCACGCAGTGGGAAACAAATCAGGAGTTGGGCAGCAGCGTTTTCCCAATAACGACTAAAAATAAAAGAAACTGCTGTTGCCAACCCGATTGCAAAGTGTGGAAACCATGACAAATATCCCCCTTCTTCCCCCCCCCCTATGAATCAACCGAAGGGGGAGGCAGTGGACTTTAAAAGGGTTTTACGGTTACGGTACGGTACCTAGGGAGAGTTGATGATAAGTCATATAGATCAGATGTTTCCTGTTCAGGTAAAAGAAATACCGGCAGAGAAACAGGATTCGCGGTGGAGAGACTGATGTGTTCTAAGCCTAGCTCGACTGATGCATTCGAATCCTAAGGGTAATTTCACACTACAGTGTATCTTTATGTGTAGTGAACAAAGTCATATTTTATATTACTATTTGTATGCCACATCGCGTCACGCCTCAGTGTGAGCCATGAAGGTTAGAGAACAGAATAACGATCACTACGTACTAAAGCAAAGCCCGCCTGTCCTTGAAAATTGAAGAATTTATAGCGACGCTGACGTCGGTGAGTACTGACTGCAAAGTTAGCTGTTTCTGAGTACAAGTAGATGAAGTTAGTTGATTAATGTACAAATTTTCTCATGCTTAACGTCATGCTCCGGAATTTTGTAATTTTTGACAAAAAAAAAAATATAAAAAGATAGAGAAATATTTTATTGTGCGTGGATGCGCAAGTGGTTTAGCCTCTGATCGTAAAAATAGACTGACAATGACTTTTATTGAGCGAACTTAGCGATCGCAGCGCCTTTAGGTACTTATGGTGTCCATATTTCTGGGACACTATTTTCTACGGCGATCGTTCTCCTGTTCTCTAACCTTCATGGTGTGAGCTGACCTTTAGAATTTTATGGTTTCATTCCTATAGTTTTTTTTTCTTGAACATAAAATCATCACTGATAAATAAAGAATTATCAAAACTGTCTTATTTATTTTAACTTAAACCCACCAAAGTGAGCCGCGTTTACTAGTACAATACACAAGAGCACATACTTGGTCAATATGTCCGCGGATCAGTTTCTCAGCGAGTGCCTTCATGACCAACAGTTCCACTTCGTCACGGGGCACTCTGGCCTCGCGCGCAATTTCCGCGAACGTCAGCTTGCGTTGTGCTGAAGTGCGGTTGAACGCCATCTGGAAAATGTTTTTACTATATTAATCTAATAGTAACAGAAGAGTAACACTTGCTTGTATGTCACTTCAGAGAAGTATTGTAACGGTTTATTGCAGACTGCTTTCCATCCGTCCATCCATTACAGTTTATTAAAGTCAACTGCTGTACAGAGGCCTCTGTCATAGAGTGCCTAATAAGGGGGACTTTGTCTTAGTAGCTTGCTAAAACTTTTTACCAAAGAAATCCAATAACCAAATTTTATTTCAAATGCACCTAAAGCTATCAAATTACTTTTTTTCCTCAATTTAAAAGTTGGAATTAGTAAGTGTCATATCCACACTAAACGCGCCATCTTTTAAAGTGACTTGCCAAAATAATGTAGTACATTTTTTTACAGTACAGTTGGTTAAAGTTAGATGTGATTTTATTATTTTGAATTCAATGTTGGGCAAAAATCTAACATTTTATTTAAAACTGAGGCAGTTATGCTTTTACTTTTAACTGTAATTTACAGATGGGTTATGTAATTACACATGGGGATGTAATTTACAGGAGGTCATGTGCATAGACAATGCCTCTATGGACATAACCTCCTGCCATAGGCAAACTCTTCTTCTGTCTTCTTGGCAAAGTAATTAGGCATCAGTCTAAATTTTTAAAATGTAATCAATATTCCAAATTCCAAATGAATATTCCATCAAAACCCTGGTTTTTTCAATATCGCCACTTATGTAAAGGTACCACCTCTACTGTTTGCCGCCTACGCTTTGGTCATGCTTCTACTCCTGTACACTTGGCCAAACTCAGGATTGTGACTCAGAATGTGGCCTAGATGAAGGGTCTGTCAATCATCTGTTCTTCGAGTGTCCTAAACTTTCTTTCTCTCTCTACGATATCCTGCCCAATTACATCCTTCGTCCAGTAAATTTACAATTTTTGCTAACCCTAGTGTATAGTAAATAAATCCCTTCGTAAATATTTTATGTGCTTTTATTCGTATTAATAATATTAAAATGTAAAATTACTTAACAACTTTGGTGACGATATTTTAAATATGTGACGTCTTTTGTTGTAGATTGTGAACCCACTCATTAAACTGAGAACTCTTATTTTAACCATTATTAACTTGTCACTTCCATGACTGACTTGACACTGGCAGAATTCTATCAAGAGAAGCCATAATTTAAAAGAAAAAGAAGATGAGTTATTCATGGTTACATCACAGAAGAAAACAGACGAAATGTTAATATTTGTAGTCACAGGACCTGAAAGATCATCACAGGGTGTCAGTTTATTGAGATTTATTTTTGAATCTTTATAATTTGAAAAGTACGTGACCAAGATTTTTTTAAAAACTTTTCTTATATAATTTTTTTGAAAACTTTTATAATATTTTACCAAGGTATAAATATTGAGGAAGTTCGCACATTTTCATTCCTCGGGATAATAATAGACTCAACTTTTTCATGGAAAACTCATGTAGAAAGAGTTGTGAGTAAGTTGAGCAGTTTTTGCTATGCCCTGCGTGAGCTACGCAAGGATACTAATGAGCAGTGCGCACTTATTGCGTACCACAGCCACGCAGCTGCCTGGATAAGATACGGCATCATATTCTGGGGAAACTCTACCGAGGTATACGTGGTATCCATGCTCCAAAAACGTTGCCTTAGAATCATCACATTCGCAGCTCCAAGAGATTCATGTCGAAGGTTGTTCCCCAGATATAACTTACTAACTGTAACGAGCATGTATATTTTTGAATTATGCCGATTTGTTAGAAAAAATCCTCATTATTTCCAGCGATTTGAAGATAGACCCAGTCGCTACGGCACACGCCGAGGTTATAATCTGGTTGCTCCTGCCACACATCTCACATTATATAAAAATGGTCCCTACTACATGGCTATAAGGGTTTACAATCATTTACCTAATACAATAAAAGCCCTCCAGTGTCGTAAATTTGAAATAGTACTCAAGAAAATGCTTATTGTAAAAACATATTAGTTGAATGAATATTTTAATGATAAATTATAAATCAATTTTAATTGTTTGACAATTTTCTTTGTTTCTATTTACATATTTGACATTGTTAGTATTTTTCATCAAAATTTTTAAACTTTATTTACATAATATAAATGACGAATGATCAGTTGACAATATTTAATGAAATTTAATTTTTAAAACAAACGTGTAAGTATTATTTAGTCTGACATTTTATAATATAATTTATATATTGTGTACTATAAATACTACTATAAATACTGTAATTTGAATGAAATGAAAATGAATTCTATACTAATTAAAATTTAAACTCTGTTTTAATATGCTACGCCGGTACAGAGTGTCACATGCTCTGTATATTGTTCCAACTTTATACTTTGTGACATGTAATAAAGAATTATGAATTATAATAAATGTCACGACTTGGCCTATTGCCCATTTCCAGCTTGATGTTAATTTCTGGTACAGCCTGTATGTCATACATTGTTATTTGTTAAGGTTATAAATCTCTTGAGAAATTGTACAATTGGATCACCAGTTTCCTTGCTGATCGCAGCATTAAGGTCGTAGTAGACGGTGCATGGTCCGATTACAAGCCTATTAACGCTGGTGTTCTACAAGGCCGTTACGTGTTATCACCGACGCTGTTTTTTGGCATATCAATGATATGATGCATACTGGTAACAGTCATTGCTATGCAGACGACAGCACTGGTGATGCTTTATACACAGGCAGTGCCAATATTTCTCGGGAAAGCGTCGCCGAGTACCGGAACAAACTTGTGTCAAATATCGAGTCTTTGCTGAATAAAGTCTCGAACCGGAGGCGACTAAGTCTAGTCCAGTTTAATACCAAGAAGACACAAGTTTGCGCATTTACTGCTAAAAAAAGCCCCTTTGTCGTATCTCCTCAGTTTCTAGGCACTCCCCTTGCTGCCTCATCTAGCATCGGAATCCTCGGCGTCGACATATCGAAAAGTGTGCAGTTTCGTGGTCACTTGGAAGAGAAGGCTAAATTGGCCTCTAAAAAGCTTTGCGTGCTCAGCAGAGCGGGACAGTATTTCATGCCGACACCGCTCGCAACTTGCTAACAAAGCGCAAGTTCGGCCTCTCACGGAATACTGTTCTCATCTCTGGGCTGGGGCACCCCAGTGCCAGCTCTTTCCACTTGACCGCACCCAGCGCAGAGCGGTTTAAATCGTCGGCGACCGAGTTTGTGATCCGCTCGATTCGCTGGCGCTGCGTAGGGATGTTACATCCCTTTGTATTTTCTATCGTATCTACCACGGGGAATGCTCTGAGTAATTGTTCGGATTAATCCCAGCCGCCAAATTTCACTTACGCACATCGCGTCAAAATTCACGATAACATCCTCACCTTGATGATTGAATGTTTGGCGGTCCATCACTGTGCGTTTTACTAGGAGTTTTCTTCCTCGTACAACTTTTCGGACCGATACGACTTAGGGATCTTCAAAAAAAAGAGCTTACTCCTTTCTAAATTGCTGGCAACGCACCTGCGATTTCCCTGGTGATACCGCTGTTCATGGGCGGCGGTAGTCCCTTACCATCAGGTGAGCCGTATGTTCCATTGCCCCCTATTCTATAAAATAAAAATAGGCTCGAATCCCGCACAGAACAAGTATTTGTATGGCCTACAAACAATTATTGTCCGAGTCTGGATGTCTATCCTCATGAAATTTATGTATAATAACTGCCCCCATGATACAGAAATAAATCTTAGTGTGTAGTAGTTTTATAAACAGAATAAAATACATGTATACGCTATATTATAGTTGTAGCGTGAATGGGTCGGCTCGACCGGGGAAGAACCACACTCTCACATAATACCAGCGTAAAATAACAGCGTAATGCTGCTGTGTTTCATATGGGGAGGGTAGAGAACCGGAGTCCCTTCCTCAGGGGTGACAATGCATTTGCATTTTGATCCTTAGTTGAGGATAAGTGTGGATGTCTATGGGTCACCGCATCCATTTACTGTCGGGTGGACTGTGTGCTCGTTTGTCACTCAATGCTATAAAAATAAAATAAAATAAAATAAAAGAATACCTCCATTAGACATAAAATTGCAATCTTCTGTCTCAGCTGACGGTCAGCCTTGTGTAGCTCAGGATGTGGGGCTTGAGTACTGAAAAGTAACATATTATATATCAATAACAAAAACAGTACCCAAGTTTCTCAAATCACCTAAATCACCTTAGAGAATGTTATAAGGCGTAGTCTGCCCTTTATATCCCTTAGTATAAGGTGTATAATAAATATTAATGGAACAAAATAAATAGATAAAATAGTACTTGCATTATCTTATACTTTTATTTAATCCTATTAGACATGTGTCAATCATGCATGATTTGTTCGTTTGATCTGGTACAATTAAAAGTATTAATGGTTCATTCATTTGTTTTTTAATGTACCGGTACAACCAATCACAAACTATTGACGGAACCTTTTTAACTCGTGATTGGTGTGAATTGTGAATGAGCTGAAACCCGACCGAATCCCGAATAAACAGGCGAATCGATTAAACAATGCAGACTGCAGAGTATCAGGAGTATTTATTATTTAAGGGTTTTTTATAATAATATTATTTACCAAAATTAAAAATTATTTTACATTTTATTATATTTATTTAGTTGTTACATCTATGACTTAAAATATCATTTAGTAGAGTTTACTAAAAATAACACTTCAAAAGATTTCATGGCAAATGATTTATTTAAAATGATAATTTTCAACCACCATAAATAATTATAATATTAAAGTTTAATTTTGTAGTAAATAAATGTTATAATCCTTATTTTTAGATATGTAAAGTAAGATGAAATTGTGTTTTGTTACGAATGAAATTTAAGAATAAACAAATTTATTAAATATTAAAAATATATAATAATATTGAATAGTTATCAATTAAAATCAAATCAAATCAATTGAATCACTTGAGGTTTTTGTGTTTACGCCATCTAGCGTCGATTGTACTTACCACCTTGAAAGTGAATAAGTTTTAGTTAGATAAAATGACGTTATTACACATAGCATGTAGTGTGTGTAGTATTACAAATCTCAAATAGAAAATTTTCGGTTCCAAATGGATCTCACTGACTCACAGAGTACTGGTGCCCGAAATGATCCATTTCAGTGATCGATCCCAATGTACCAGTACGCGTGACGAAATGTACTAGAATGATTCGGTCACTAGAAATGAATGATTGACAGATTGTCTAAATCCTATTGTTACTGTTATAGCATACCAAAAGTCTATTGATGAACATAAGCCTCTCCCAAAGGTTGCCTCATAGGCGGGATATTTGCCATAGTTGCCACGCCTGCCAAGAGGATTTGCAACCGCAGTCTTCTATATTTGTTATTAAAAAAAAACACTGCCGCCCTAGTTTGTTTCTCTCTGCCGCATCTTACAACACCTATGGGATATATAATAATATATATAATATGGGGTAGCGGATATTCCTACACCACTACTACACGGTTTACTTTAATCTAAAATATTAAGTGATCACAACTCTCCTTTCTTTATTATATAACTATCTTTATTATAACTGTCTTTATTAAGGGGAAGACAGATTGTTCCTGTGTTGTGACAAATCTGTCTACTTAATTATAAGTGGCTACTGCAGCCCATAGAAATGGGCAACCATCTTTTAGTTTAGTTTAGTTTACGACGGGCTGTTTTCCGCAACTCCATGTCTAAGTGCGTATTTTGCGTGTGGGCAGGAATACTATGGTTATTCTAGCCATGATATCTCCCCCGAAGAAGCTCAGCAGTCCCTTGATGTTGCAAGCAACTCCGGGGAGGGAACCCAGCGTGCCGAGATGTTTAGCCCTGTATGAAGCGAATTCTGGACATGTCAGCAACACGAGAGCCACAGTTTCTTCCTCTCCCATGCATGCCCTGCACAGGGGGCTATCAGTAACACCTATGGTGAACAAATGTTTGTTAAAAGAGCCATGTCCTGTGATAGCACTTGTTACTATCCTGATCTGTGGCTTGTTCAGTCTCATTAGAACCTTGGTTAGACGACTGTTTATTTCAGGTAGGGCCTCCCTAGCTTGTCTACAGTCTACAAAATTTTTCCAAAGCTGAGCGTGTAAATTATTGAAGTACCTAATGTACCAGTGAACGAACATAACCAAAGGGGATTGATATTATTGGTTCCGGCCCTATAGTTGCCAGGGCCGATCCCCTTCTGGCCAGTTCATCTGCTGCATTGTTGCCTCTAGATCCACTGTGTCTCTTGATCCATTGCAGAGTCACATTGTTGTGCTTACATACCTCATTCAATCGTTGATGGCACTCGTATATCAGTCCCAAGTTCGTCACATTGCAACTCAGAGCTTGTAGTACCGCCATACTGTCGGTCAGTATTCTCATGCATTCAGCCTGGAAGACTGTGTTGTGGGTACCCAGCGGTGTGCATATGTGGATATTAAGGTCTTCAGAGAAAGCCCCAGACCCCACACCTTCATTTGTCTTAGAACCATCTGTGAAAACTTTGAGCTCTCTTGGACCCAATTCTTCCAGATAGTCAGTTTCCTTCAATTGTATCCTGTACTTCTTATCGAATACAAATTGTTTTGGGAGTGCAACCATCTTAAAATAAGATGAAATGCCTCGTAATTACTTTGGCTGAAATCTGGGTTGAATGTTGTAGTTTCAGACCAATGCAAGCACAGCTATTTGGCGGCAAAAATAAGTGAGGGTAGTACGAATTAATTGTTATTCCCCTAAATTACTAGCTCAAACTGGTATTAATTACCGAATTTTCTCGAAGGCGACAATATCACCGGCTGCCACTGCTTTCACCAATTCACAGGCCCACGCGTCCGGAGTGCCCTCCAAAGATTCCAGGATGGGATGAGCCAACTGTGAATTTAATATGCATTGTAAGAATCATAAATAAATAATGAAGGCATTTTCCACAAATGGAGAGATATGGGAGCTCCACAGATGAACATAGCCTATGTTCGGCTGTGGAGCTCCCATTGATTGCCTCATCAAGAGGATTTTGCCATAGTTGCCACGCATGGCAGGAGGGTTGGCAACTGCAGATTTGTCTTATTTTGAGTTGTTATCAAGAAGATGCTGCTTGTTCATCTTCTGTTTTAGTTTCCCTCTGTTGCCTGTTATGACACACATGGTACAATATGGGGTACACATGGTACAATTGCAGAATCTTGAAAGTATTTTCCCATTTTATATCTTCTACATCATTAGTCAGTAAAAGTTTACTGGACATGGGTGGATATGGACCTCTCCTGTTGTCATCCTCGTCAAATCCTCCCTGATTTGCCTTAGTCGTCACACTTGGTAGCCAGATTGACGCTTTGCAATTTTGTGATTTAGACATGGGTCATTCATCAATTTCTAGTGATTATTCAAGTGGATGATTTCGTGAGATCCGGTTGATAATGTCGGTCGTCAGCCATTACTATACTCTATGGTCGTAGGTCCTGTCAATAGTTTGATCCGGAACATTCAAAAATGTTATTGCAATCATCAATACTTTGATATGATCCGTGTCAAATGAATGAATCATTCACAATTGACATATATCCCCTTGTGTGGCGACCGGCCAGATTCTGGCCGATGGTTAATTACGCGCGTCTGGCAAGCGACCAGATTCTGGCCGATCCGCGACTGCGTATTTGGCGGGTAAAATAACCAGCGACAATGATTTTTATCACACTTTTACTTATAGAAAATTATAAACCAAAGAAAGAGGATGCGATACAAAGCTACTAAAGTACTACAATGTTTAGAAATTTCGAATAAACAGCCTATGTAGCAGTCGCATGCGAACGTCGCTTTTATGTGGTCACCCGTCCCGGTTTTTGTCCTTATTTTATTCCTAAATCGAACAAATAGTGAAGTTAAGTGCTATTCAAACATAGAAGGGTTAATAACCAACAGTTTTTAATTCATAATTTAGGGATATGTATCCTTTTTATAAAAAAAATTCGAACATAAACGGTCGTTATACTTACTTACCTTACATTTATCTCTTTGTTGATTAAAAATACATTACATTCTTTTTAGAAATGAAACTTTGTCTAAATTAAGGACTTGAGCCATACTTAATGTTAAAATTATCGTACGCCACTTGACTTGCTCATTTCTCAAAATAAAACTAACAATATATGCTATTTTTTGTGCGACGCTTGGGTTGCCGTTCATGTGTTAAGATTGTAAAAAACTTTTGAGGTAAAAATATATAGGAATGTGTGGTTTTTTTTTTGCTTTTTTTATTATAAATTAGTGTATATTGATGAAAATAAATTACATTTATTTTATAAAAGAATGATTTTTATGTTTAATTTTCACAAATTATGCACAAAATACTATTAAAAATTTGGTTTTCCAACTTTGAAATTGGCTTAATAAAATCTATTAAGTTGTATTCAACTAAGATATCTACAGAGTAATAGCAAATAATATAACAATTCATATGACATAAGTTTTATAAATAGCTTCCATACAATATTTTAGAGAAATTACTAATTTAATTGCCACGCGCCGATATCGCAAAATTACCTGCTAAGGCCCTAGCAGACGCGACGTATTTGCAAAATGGCCGGCCGGCAGACGAGGGGATATAAGAAATAGTAATAAAATGGAAAACCCACAATTTAGTTATTCCATTAATATAGTAAATTTAATTTTGTTTTAAATGTTTATGTTGCAAAGCTTTCTATAGTTAAATGTATATCTTGATGACGGGGCATGTAATGGTGTCACTCCAGTTCATCACAAAGTTATGTAAATATGTAAAGTAACTATTTGACGTACTATATACTATATGATAATGATGACTCATCATTATCTAATATTTATCATTATCATTATACTATATGTAATGTCGTGATGGTATTAGTGTGTAAGTGATTTAGTTACATTATAATATTATAAGTTATGTAAGAGAGAATTGTAAGAGGTTCCATGAGAAAACAGTGTGTTGAAGAAACTGTCTTACTTCTCTGAATATGGAAAGATACATCTCAGTGTATGATGGACTTGTGTAGAGCATGCTCGTTTAAGGTCTCTGCTTGTATTGGCTCATGTGGCAGGTCGCCCACTTTTCTTTAACAGGTGCTGCTTGTAGGAACTGAACTGCTCGAGTTCGCCATGTACTGATAAGCTCCCAATTTTTAATTGTCCATTTTTATAAATATTTCATTGAATATGCTTAAGTACAGTAGTTTAGATAAGGATCTGTTATCATTAGTAAAATCTACTTCAAAACTAACCAAAAAAGAGGTTACTTCTGGTTGGAGTAAGCTTATTTTAAAACAGTAGTTTTGACCAACAAAATTTTTTGTTGAAGAAATAAATATATTTCAATTCATCTATTGGGGGTCTAAGAATCTCTGGTGGAGGTTCGGTTGCCACCTACGACGACTCGACCTGGCAACATATAACGCACGCACCCTGAGGACTGACGAGAAGATACTGGAGTTGGAAGAAGAGGTATACAAGTTGCACTGGCATATTATTGGGTTATCCGAGGTCTGAAGAGAGGGGGAGGACACGGTAATCCTCGAATCCGGCAACTTGTTCTATCACCGAGAGGGCGACCATCTGTCCCAAGGAGGTGTCGGATTTATCGTCCACAAGTCTCTCGTCAACAACGTTGTAAAGATTGGGAGTGTGTCGACGAGGGTCGCGTACCTGATACTCAGAATCACCAAACGGTATTCGCTGAAGGTCATTCAGGTTTACGCACCAACCTCGGCACATCCCGATGAGGAAGTGGAGGAAATGTATGAGGATATTTCCAGAGCCATGTATTCCTCCAAAACCCACTACACGGTGTTGATGGGAGACTTCAACGCAAAAAAACTAGGCACAAGAGAAAGCTTTTTTTTTATCCGGTGAGCTGAAGGTAGGGAAATTTGGATTAGGGCAACGGCACCGAAGGAGCCAGCAGCTGGCCTACTTTATGGAGAAAGAGGGACTCTTTATGATGAACTCTTTCTTCCAGAAGCGGCCCCACAGGAAGTGGACCTGGTCGAAACCCGACGGTTCGACAAAAAATGAGATTGACTTCATTATGACGACCAGACGCCAACTGTTCAGTGATGTCTCAGTGATCGCAAGGGTGAAAACTGGCAGCGATCACCGAATGGTTAGAGTCACACTGAACCTAAACGTTAAGTTGGAGAAGTCCCCCTCGTGCTCTAATCCAGAATCCCGAAACCTTTCAGCTCGAGTTACGTAACCGCTTTCAGTGCCTAGAATATTGCAATGCAGTGGACGATATGAACGACAAGCTCGTGGAAACTGTCCATGCGGTCGGAGCCTAAGTTCTGCAAGACCCGCCGCAGAAGAACACAAAAACTCTCCAATCACACTCTTAATCTCATGGCTTTTAGATGGGAGATGAGGCTGCTATCGTCAACAGATTTGACAGCATACAGGCAACTGAACAGACAGATCTCCAAATGCATGCGGCGAGACTTACGCAACTTTAATACTGCTGGTATTGAAGAAGCGATTGAGCGGAACCAGGGCTCCAAAGTCTTTGCCAGAAATTTGTCTGCCAGTAAGAGTCAACTGTCAAAGCTGAAGACTGAGTGTGGCAGCATCGTTTCCGGGACACCTGAGATTCTGAGTGAGATTGAGAGGTTCTATGGGCAGCTGTACACATCATTGTTGGAGCCACACGCAAGTGTGAGTAACAATCCAAGAGCAAATCTTATCCGACACTATTCCGATGATATCCCGGACGTCAGTCTGAGCGAGGTTAGAATGGCTCCCCAGCACCTTAAAAACGGCAAGTCCCCGGGCGAGGATGGAATTACAGCGGAGCTTCTGAAAGCAGGTGGAAAACCGGTACTTGAAGTCCTTCAGAGGCTCTTTAATTCCGTCCTCCATGGTGGCACTACTCCGGAGGCGTGGAGCAGAAGTGTGGTGGTTTTGCTCTTCAAGAAAGGTGACAACGCTCTCTTGAAGAACTACAGACCGATATCCCTTCTGAGCCGCGTCTATGTGCTGTTTTCAAGAGTCATTACGAATCGTCTCGCACGCAGACTCGACGACTTCCAGCCTCCCGAACAAGCCGGTTTCCGAAAAGGCTTTAGTACCATAGACCACATACATACCCTTCGGCAAATTGTACAGAAGTCCGAACAGTACAATCTGCCACTTTGCCTGGCGTATGTGGACTATGAGAAAGCCTTTGATTCCGTCGAAATTTGGGCGGTGCCACAGTCTCTTCAGCAGTGCCAAGTTGACTGTCGGTATATCGAAGTGCTGAAGTGTTTGTACAGTAGGGCTACGATGGCTATCCGAGTACAGAACCAGAGTACGAAACCTATCCAACTGCAGAGAGGTGTAAGACAGAGTGACGTTATTTCCCCGAAATTCTTCACCGCTGCATTGGAAGACGTTTTCAAGCTACTGGACTGAAAAGGATACGGTATTAACATCAATGACGAGTACATCACTCACCTTCGATTTGCCGACGATATAGTCCTTATGGCAGAATCGCTGGAGGATTTAAGCACTATGCTCAATGACCTCAATAGTGCCTCCCAATGGATAGGTCTTAAAGATGAACATGGACAAAACAAAGATCATGTTTAATGTCCAGTTAACACCTATGCCGGTAGTTGTTTGGGAGCACTAAGTTGTTGACGAGTATGTTTACCTGGGACAAATAGTCCGACTAGGTAAGTCCAACTTCGACCGAGAGGTCAAACGACAGATTCAACTTGGCTGGGCAGCATTCGAGAAATTACGACACAACTTCTCGTCAGGTATACCTCAATTTCTGAAAACTAAAGTGTACAACCAGTGCGTGTTGCCAGTGATGACATATGGAACTGAGACGTGGTCCTTCACTGCTGGCCGTATGAGGACGCTCATTCGCTCAGCGAGCTATGGAGAGGGCTATGCTCGGAGTTTCTCTGCGTGATAAACTTAGAAATAAGGATATCTGCAGTAGAACCAGAGTGACCAACATAGCCCAACGGATTAGTAAGCTAAGGTGGCAATGGGCCGGCCATATAGCTCGAAGAACCGACAACCGTTGGGGAAAAAAGGTTCTCTAGATGCAGCCTCGTAGCGGTAGACGAAGTTTAGGGCGACCCCCCACTAGATGGAGTGACGACCTGGTAAGACATGCAGGAAGTCGATGGATGTAGGTGGCTCAGGACCGTGCTTTGTGGCATACCTTGGGGAGGCCTATGTCAGCAGTGGACTTGTGAAAGGCTGTAATGATGATGATGATGATATTGGGGGTTGTAAAGGTCTATTAACTAACCCCCCAAATAATGACTCACCAGTTCACCCAGATCATACACAGTGGGTGCAATGACGGCCGCAAGAGCGAGTCGCAGTGCGCAGGCACGACGCTCGGGCAGCGCCAGGTCTTCACCACCACGAGCACAGCCTACGTAACGGAGGGCTGCTCTATAATATTTATCCATCGGTCCTCGCACTCTGAAATATGATAGTGGAAGAATAATTTACAGTATTGTAAGTCTGTTAACAGACATGTCTTCCATTGAGGTGAAGATAACCTGTAGTCTATGTGATGGTAAGTGGATATTGTGAACATTTACATTCCTCAAATAACAATCAGAGCAAATGCAAGATCATTCCTGATCAGTGAGCTATGGAGAGGGCTACACTTGGAATTTCTCTGTGTGATAGAATCCGCAACATTGATATCTGCAGTAGTATCAAATTCAATTAATCAGTAGATGGCTATTTGGAGCAGTGGTTTAGCAATGAGTTACAGCACTGAGGGCCGCGGGTAGGAATCCCGCATGGAACAAGTATTTGTATTGCCTACAAGTAATTGTTACAGATCTGCATGTTTGTCCTTGTGCAATTTACATATGTAATCTGCCTCCATGATACAGGGGAAAACCCTAGTGTGGGGGTAATAGTTTTTAAAAGAAAAAAAAAGAGTGCCGAGATGTTTAGCCGCATATGCAGCGACCTCCGTACATGTCAGCAACACATGGGCTGCCGTATCTTGGAGAACAAGTCCATTGCTGGATATCGGGCCCTATTCGGCGATGGACTTGTGAAGGACTGTAGTGATGATGATGATTCTTTTAATATGCTCTAAAAGGTCATACCTGTAGTACTCCGCTGCTAATTTATAGAATCTGCCATGGACTGGGGTAACACCATCAGCATCTTCCAGTGTTCCTTCTAACTCTTCAATGATTTTCTCAGTGGCATCCATGTCAATCAGCTGTTCTAAATATATCTGACCTTGGAGAACCTGAAATAAAACATAAGCACTGAAAACTCTAGGGTATATCAAATTCACTAAAAATAAAAAAAGGAAAAGGATTGTGATATTTTTAAGCACAGATTATTTTCAATTACTTATATTAACTTATACATACAAAGCAATATAAAATTTTATATTGCAAAAAATATATACATTTACTTTTGTACAGCTATGTAATAATAATGTCCTCCAGACTGAATTTCGGTCACAGCAGCTACCAGCAAGGCCAGAGACTAGCCATCTGGGCAGGACTGGATTATAGTGCCCGGAAGTGTACACAAACACAGGTGCACTCTTCATTTCCTCACTCTCATAGTCTGAATTGACGATAAACCAACACACTCTATGAGAGTTCAGGCAGCTTCACCAAAGACTTTACATACTTTTCTAGGCAAGGGGATGAAACACCGCCAACTTGATGATTCCAGGCTGCTACTGAGAATTACTTGACAGAAAAACGTAATTTCTGATTTTGAGCCAGACCCAGAAATCAAACCTGGAACCTCATGATCAGCAATTGCACTTACAGCCACAAGACCAAATATATAGGTAATATGGAGGTATCTTGTTAATGCTAGAAGTAAAATATTCAAAATGGCACCAGGCAGCAGGGTCTAAGTTGTGAGACATCTGATATTACGATTGTCAATACATCTGCCAAGTGTGAGGGCAAACCCTCTCCTACCTATGGGAGAGGCACTTATTCAGTAGGAGACTTTTACAGGCTGTTGAAGAAGAATAAGAAGCATAACTATAATATTTACATGTTAAATAAACCTAGTTTTTACGGATTTTATGGCATATATATATGGCATACTTATTTAATATTCTCTACGTTTTGAGCATGTTACAGCACCCATGGTCACGGAGGTTTGACATCCTAATGTCATAGTTAACCACGACTATGTCCAGATTTATTTTGTCTGAACTTTGCAATAGGTACTTATAGTATCTTGACGTCTTTGGATTTAATTTTATTATGTTTAACTATGTTTAACTGTGCAAGAAAACTGGGTTTGATTGAATAGCAATCTGAAGTGCTGATTTACCACATGCTCGGCTCGGCAGTTAGGGAAAACATCACGAGGACACCGGCATGTCTGAGAAATAAGAAAAAAAATATTTCGAAGACAAAAAATATTGTGAAGTTTGCCAAAACATATTGGGCGGACAATTCATTGCCCGAAAATCAGTGGGGGGCCAGTGAAGGGTGGGTCAATGGGTAATTTTTTTAAGAGTGACAAACAAGCACACAGTCCACCTGATGGTAAGTGGTTGCTGTGGCCCATAGACATAGGTGAGGACTAAGAACTCCACTTACAGTCCACCTGATGGTAGGTGGCTATTTGCAGTCCATGAATGAGTGCAGTCAACTTCAAATAAAAGGAGGCCACAGTTGTATTGACAATGTAGTCTACCGAGGAACTGAATGTCCTATGAGGACTGAAATGGAATGCATCAAAACCTGTAATTCTATTGGCTCTCTATACCATTCAGACCAGAACGCTCTGCATACAAGGTAAGAGGATGATACCTACCCAGACAGACTTAAAATTAGCAACTTAATGCATGGTGAGTGTAGACAACCAGAGACCCTTTTTTACAAAGTATAACACAAAGTCCCTTCTTGACATCTGTATGCTTAGATTTTTTAAACTATGCAACGGCTTTTGATGTGGTTTACATCAATAGACAGAATGATTTAAGATTAAGTTTTATCTGTATAATACATGCATCTTTATAATAAACTTCTAGTATGTATGTGTATGTAATTCTCCACCTCCTAAACGGCTTTACTGATTTTTATAAAATTTTTAGGGAGTATTTATGGGGTCACCTAGAGATGTTGTAGAAATCCAAAAATCAACTGTGCAAAGCCAGGGCAATTCACTAGTTTTACTAGAAATTAATCATCACATTTTACTTTTCATGATTGACAACTCATTCACATTTTTATTCTTGATTGAGGATAAGTGTAGATGTCTATGGGCTACAGCACCTACTTACCATCAGGTGGACTGTGTGTTTGTTGGTCAACCTTATTCTATAAAAGAAGGACTCCTAGTCAAAAGAGAAGTCCTAGCACCTAGTAAATTGTTTAACCATCTTGTATATGCCAGTCAAGAGCATGATGTCTGTAGCTTTGCTATTAAATTCACTTGACGAGAGTGGCAATTAAAACACTTTTACAGCCTGGTTAAAAAGAAGTTCAATAAAACTAACCATAATTTTAGCATAATACTTTTCTTACCTTACACAATGCCAGTGCCTCTGCATTCATCTTAACTTTGCCCTCCACCTTTTCCAAGAAGGCAATAGCCTCCTTCTTATCAGTGAACTGCTGTACAACATGGGCAATGATCTCTACCAGAGATAGTGGGTTTATTCTGGAAATTATTTTTATTTGTTATGTATAATACAATTAGTATAATAAGTATATTTCCAAGACAAACAACATGTAAATAATAATATCACTTTTTTCCAAGAAATATATTTCAATTTTTCTATAACACAGGTCAATTAAAGAGAAAAATCCTAGAAAAGGTATTTAAAATCATATATTTAATTCTGTAACTTTGAGGTTATATTTAGAGACTAATCAATATTACTCAAGTGATTATGATGAAAAATTGGAAAATTGTATTATCATAATATAAATATAATTTTAGTATTAATTTTGGTTTCGAATTTATATGACTTTCTTATCTCAGAACAATTTTAAAACAATGGAACCAAATTATTTGATAAATATGCTTACTTGTTTTCAAATACAGTAATAAAGTTGTTGTAGAGTTGTATAAGGTTGTCGCCGGATTGTTGAGAAGGATAATTCACCATTTCTTGTAATTTTATAGTTATTTGATGCCATAATCTGAAAATGAAAACAATCAACTTACTTATCTTGAAAAAGTGATAGATTAAATTAAAATTGACAAACTTACTTTTTATTGTAAAGTTCTTCCAATTTCGCCCAATCTGCTGCCAATTCAGGATCAGCTGCTTGTTTTTTTGATAGAAAATCGTTCGCATCAACAACTGCAAACTTTACAGAAGCCATCTTTCAAAATTTATATCGTGTAATGATGTGAAGTTAGATGCAAATAGTACTACTTTTTAAAAGATAAATGACAAAGGCATTTTTGAATTCATCCAAACTGAAAATAGCCCTATATAGCGCCATCTAATGACAAGTAGTGAAACTTACAAATTAAACTTTTCTTACTAGATGGCAGCACAACGTTGCTAAAATATTTTTTATATAATATTAGTACCAAGATTCAGATAATACTAAATTATTAATAAGACAAATAAAATAAATTTTCAGCGCAGATTATATTGCCTCATTATCAGAGTTTATTTTTTCATTTTCATGTAATAATTTGCATGGTATGAACCCATTTATAGTACGTATCTAGGTATATAAATTTCCGTTTAATACGATGAGAAATTCAATAAAGAGCAAATAATCTTATTTTGCATTTCATCATACTACGTTAGTAAGTGTAGAAACTGAAGAAAAATCATATAATAATTTTCGGTAGGAAAAATAAGTTTATTTGTTACCATTTCTATGTTTAATATTATTACCTATTACCAATGCGAACAATTGAAGCATAACAATGGCAGTGCGGATCTTCACTGAAATTAAAGATTAGAAAACAGCAGTAATTAAACCGAACTGCCTGATTTAGAGTTCCGACAGACTTAGGCTAACTATGAATATGCGTCCCCCACCGGTCTGTTCGGTCTGTGCCTGCCCAGCCCACAAATATTATATTTACTAAATTTTTATATTTTGCTAGCTTCCGACCCAGCAGTTTCGCCAAAGTTAAATCAAATTTTCCTGATAATAAGTGTCGATCATCGCCCATGAGCAACTGCAACACCAGATCTCTGGTGGTAGTCGATTCCACAAGGAATATGTGCGAGGAAATTGCCTTCGATATATATCTACGAAATAAATCTATTTGTGAAATCAAATCCAAATTTTTACAAGACTGCTTTTAAGAGCTACTATAGACAATTACGCGACAAAAAAAGATTAGACATAGAAATACCGTATGGAGATACAGCACTACTCAATAAAAGTATTCTTTGTATGGCATCACTGATTCACAACAAACTACCAGATGATGTCAGAAAGTTGCCTGAAAGACGATATTACACAAATTTCTGATTAATAAATGTTATTATAAAGTCAAAGAGTACCTAGAGGACAAAAGTATTATAATTTAATAGCAATAGTTTTAATTTAATTGTAACTTAATAATAATAATTTGAATTTAATTATAACTGAATAATAGTAATTTATACATTTACCTAATGTATGTGACACATTGTAACAATTTAATAATATTAGTATATTAAATTATAATTTAACTTAAATTTTGTATGACAACATTTTTGGATTTGATTATTCTTATTATCAAAAATATTTAATTTCGAGTTTATATAATATCAAGGTATTTAGTATGACAACAATTAGCACTATAGACTCAACTATTGACAATATTTTTTTTTCTTATTCTTAAATTTATTTCAAAGCACCATTATTGAATTAGTAATGCGTAGACTATATTGTAAAGTATTTGCACACCTTATAAGGTAATAATACAGTGTACATATTCTAATTTTTTTGTAACAACTCTTATACCTGTATTATGCAAATAAATGAATTTGATTTGATTTGATTTGATTTGAAAAAAACTTCTTTTAAATCGCACAGTGGTAGACCGCCAGTCATTTAGATGGTATGGTATCTTGAGTTTTGTCGCGATGTGCGATGGTTAAATTGTGTGGCTGGAATTAGTCCAAACAATTCCTCAGAGCACTCACCGTGGTAAATGCGATAAAATACGCAAAGAGATGCAACATCTCTTCGCAGTACCAGTGACCAGTGAGTCAAGCCGATCGGAAAGAGATCGCGGTCGCCGACGATTTGAAGAGCTCTGCGCTGGATGCGACCAAATAGAAGGAGCTGGCACTAGGGAACCCCAGCCCAGAGATGGGAACAGTATTCCATGTGCGACTGAACCTGCGCCTTAAAAAAAACAACCGCCTTGCATGCGGTCTTTTTCCCCCTCGTCGTCGCTGTCTACGCGCAGCTATAAGATGGACAGGTCCGTACCTTCAAGGCTGCTGAGGCGTGGTAAAAAAATGTCCTCTCTGACTTACACGCAATCTCCAGCCCGGGGCACAACTGTACTAATTTGTACCCCGGGTAGGAGACATACAAAGTATCAGCCGGAGAAGACACCTGTGTCTCGATTAGAAAGATAGAAGGTTTGAATGAAGTCCCCTGATGTAGAAATTCACAGATAGCGTGGCAGGGGGCGCCATTGACTTATTGCTTCATTTGCACCGAGGAGGTTTAGTCTCGAGCGGAATCCCCCCCCCCCGATTACGCGGGGCGGCCTGAGCACTCACGCTCAGGAAGAGTATGATAGCTTGGGCGTGGATGCTCAGCGAGGGATTCTCCGGCACTGGGGGTGCTGGTACCCTCCAGGGGTAGTGTTTTATTTAACTCCGCTAGCATGTTAAGGGTATATTAATCACGGTCCCCTCGTTTTTTGGCTTTAGAAAATCGAAAAATCATCCGATTTAGATAAATTTTTTAAAGATCTGCGTTTTTACGGCGAATTTATGAAAAAAAATATGGAAAATATGTCACCTGAATATTTAATATAGTTTTATGACTTTAAATGTGATCATATACGCACTTCTTCGAATATAATCGTTCACAACTTTTTTGCAAAGCATTAAACGAAGTTTATATATTTTTTTGTCAATTTACACAAAAAAACGAACATTTATAAAAAAAATTGAAAAATTGTTTGTTTATTAATTTTTTATCTTACTTAAAGTTTTTATATGGTTTTCTGACTTTAGGTGTTAATATAAATGCTCGAGAAAATCGAAATAATTGTAAAAGTTAATATTTTGGTGTTTTATTAAGTATAAGATCAAACGAAGCGAGCTCGGGACTTAGGGCATCTCGATTAGGACAGGTTAGGTTAGAAGTCTCCTTCGTAGTTATTTTTTTTACAAACCACTCAGAAGTAGGAGCCCCGCGAAGCGGTGCTCCGTCGACAGGGCTTTCCTCAACTGCGCTACGTTGAATGGCGTGTTGCTTTCCTCCCACAACTCTCTCCTGTAGCGCAGTCGAACGAAAACAGGGGACCGCAAAGGTATTAAATTACCAAATACTGTCCCTCTCTATTGAGCACGCCGAGCTTTTAGAGGCTAAATTAGCCTTGTCGACAACCTTGGTACTGTAAGTCATTCGATATGTCGATGCCGAGAATTCCGATGCTGGCTGAGGCAGCGTGGGGAGTGACATGAAATTGAGGAGATACGACAAAGGGGTTCTTTTTAGAGGTAAACTCGCAAACTTGTGTCTTCTGAAAGTAACTCTAAAGTAAACTCGCCTACAGACGTTCTTAATCCGAGATTTTGTTTATTAAAGACTCGACCTTAGACACAAGTTTGTTCCGATACTTGACGACTTGTTCCAGAGAATATTAGCACGGTCAATGTAAAAAGCATCACCAGTGTTACAATCAGTAACAGCAACATATAATTGATAAACAGAATAAACAGCGTACTATCACACATGTCACAGGGGGATAAGTCGCTCGCGTCCGTAGGCTTCGACCACCTAATCCTAGGCCCACCCTACACGTTTCCCCGGGTGGTGCTAAAAGAGCGACAAAGCCGAAAGAACAGACTCGGCTACTCGCCGGGTGGTAGCGGCGTAAAATATACCACCCCCTAGTTTTCGCACCATGAGGCAAGGAGGAAAGGAAATGGCCCCAAGTTCCCGGCGATCCTTTAATGGGGCAGGGTTGCAAAGAATCTCCGGGAGGAAAACCGGCGATGAGGTTCGCCACCCGTCACGTTCTGTCTCCCGCAGGGGCGAAAAGAGGATTGCGGATGCCCGTCTAACTACGCTGAATGTATGTGGAGCAATGAATGATAAGATGGATGAAGTATGCGATATGATGTATGATAGAGGAATAGACGTGTTATGTGTAAATGAAACGAAGCGGAAGGGAAAGGATGTCACTACACATGGCATATATACCGCGTACTGGTCCGGTGTTGACGAGACCGAGTGAGCATGTCCGGGGGTCGGTATCATCCTTTCAGAAAGAATGGGTCAATGTGTGAAATAGTATGAATGTGTAAGCCTGAGACTGCTATGGATACGAATAAAAGTGGGTCTAAAAAAGTTGTTTCTTCTAGAGATCTACGCCCCAGACATGTCCAAGCCCACTTATATCCGAGAGCAGTTTTGAGAGATGGTAAGGATGGTGTTAATGAAATGTAAGGAAAATGAAAATATTGAGGTGAGGAGGCTTGGCTATGAAAGGATACTGGGAACGTTTGGTGATGAAAGTATTAATGAGAATGGTGAAAGTCTCCTCACCGTATGTGTGGAAAAGAATCTTTTGTGACGAACACTTTCTTTCATCATAGGAAGATTCACATGTATACTTGTGAAAGAGGTGATGATAGAAGCATGATAGATGATGGATGTCATAACTGTGGATGAAAGAATGAGGAGCGCAGTGGTGGATATAATGGTTTACCGGGACCGTTGACCGTTTTTCGGCATAAGACCTGGTCTTATGCCGAATTAGGGGTTTATACAGACGTTGGCGGCATCGGACATCTGTGTCTGCTACTGCGTTACAGCTTATAAGAATTGAGAGGTTACAAGATGAAGATGTGAAAGACAAGTACAAATGTAGACTGAGAGAAAATATAAGTGATTTAGATGAATTGTGTGTGAATGAGTTAGACTTGGAAAACGTGTGGCATAATGTTAAGTAAGGTTTAGTGGATGCAGCTACCGAAGTATGTGGTGTTAGTAAGAGAACGAATGAAAGGAAAAACAATACGTTATGAATGATGAAGTACGTATGGAAGTCAAAGAAGAGAGCATGGCTAGATTTACTAGCAACCAAAGCTGGTAATTCTGGTGGTATGAATGATGAGATTGAAAGAAAAAAGACAGAGTCTAAACGTCTAAATAAGAGAGTAAAAGAATTAGTT